AATCGATGCTCGAGCGCCATCGTCAGCAAATGGTTGTGATGGTCCTAGCTGTGAAGGAGGAGAAGGATCGAAGCCGCAAAGGACGGCGAGGTTCGACCGTCGGCCGTCATTGCATCCCTCGCAACCGCCATCTCGGAACTGTGATGTTGATGCAAGACTACTTGGCAGACAATCCAACCTATCCATCGCACCTCTTTCGGAGAAGGTATCGGATGCGTCGATCACTCTTCATAAAAATTGTGCAAGCTTGTGAGGCCAATTGTCGGTTTTTTACTCAAAGGAGAAACGCCACAGGCTTGTCGGGGTTTAGCGCCTATCAAAAAAATCTCCGTGGCTATGCGTGTGATTGCATATGGTATTACGGCTGATAGTACAATTGAGCCGGTGCGTAGGTTTGCCAAAGCGATGATCCGCGTCTTTGGTCCTGTCTATCTTCGTGCACCCAAAGAGGAAGACACAATAAAGTTGATGGCAGCAAATGAGAAGCGAGGTTGGCCCGACATACTTGGAAGCATTGATTGTATGCATTAAACTTGGAAAAACTGTCCCAAGGCATGGCATAAGCAATTTTGTGGCAAATCTCATAATGCAACAATTGTGCCAGAGGCTGTAGCATCTGAGGATTTATGAATTTATCATTGTTTTTGTATGCCGGATACTCTCAATGATATCAATGTGTTGCAACGGTCTTATTTGTTTGCTAGACTTGCTAGTGGTGATGCTCCTGCTTACAACTTCACGGCGAATGGGCACGAGTACACAAAGGGGTACTATTTTGACGAAATCGGCCGGCGGAGGAGTTGGGCGGGCGGCGGGCGGCGGGCAGTCGCGCGGAAGCCAAGTGAAGGCAGTTGGGCGGTTGGCGCGCGGCTGCCGTTTTTACATCTCCAGTGGATGGAGGTGTATATTTTCACCACGAAGTGTTGTATTTTACATCTTCAGAAGGCGGAGATGTAATATTTTTTTTTGCATATACATCATCTGTTGGAGAGTTACTTTCATTTTCTATTGGAGTTGCTCTCTTTGTCAAACTAGTTAATTGACATTGAAAAAAGGCCCTCAGATACGAGTACATGTCGGCAGGCACACACAGTCTCCTTCCTGAACTGATCGTGCCTACGTATTCCTGAGATTTCACAATTATTTTTGTTTTCATCCCGAACACACAGTCCGCCATTTTTGGGCAAAATATTTCGTGTGATTAATCATCACGTACGTGTTAACTAAGGCAATCTATCCTTATCCAAACTGCCGTATGGTTGCATCCTGAAACATACGCAAGGCAGCAACTGTCTCAGAGCATCTCCAACAAACGCGCTTCGCCTCGACGCGGTATAATTCTTTAATAACGGCGTCAAAATAGTCTTTTTGCGCGAGGGAGCGACGAAGAGGTTTTTCAAGTGCATAAAAACACGGCGCCCAATCTGGCGGCCCACCTGCAGCAGCCCATGCGATAATCCGGCGTCCCAAATTTGCAGCTCGCCCGCACATCCATGCGCTTAAGTTTTTTATGCGCACTCTATTTTACGGCGTCTGTTGGAGCGTTGTTTTTTTTCTCCAATGCACAAAAACGATGGTTTTTAGCGCGTGATGTATTTTTTTGGCGTCTGTTGGAGATGCTCTCATGGCAAGGCAAATGTTGTTTATAATGAACCATGTTGTGATATTGCAAAATATAGATTAGGGTGAAAAGTACAATAGCATTGCCATGGAAGCTTTAGATCTGCCTGTTCGTATAGTGGCATCCAAAATAACCTTTCTACCGTGTGTGTTAGAATTGATTCGCATACGGGTGTGTCTAACTCTCATCTAGAAGAGAAATAATTATGTGTCATCGAACTCCTACACCATTGAGTTTTACGCGAAGAGTTGTGGGGATTTTTTTCCTTTATTTTGTTTGTTTGTTTACTCAAATAGTGTAGGAGTTAATCACAAAAAAATAGTGTAGGAGTTAGATAGGGCTTTCCTAATTATCATCTAGATGAGAATTTGCAAATCCGTTCAAAAAATAAACAGATTATTTTCTATGTGTATGCTTCTTATTTTACAAACATCTGGAAAATTATATAGATGCGGTGTGCTTTATTTGCAAGATTTGGATGTCTTAAGCAAAAAACTATTAGTTCGAGATGGTTACAAAAAGGATCTAAAAAGTACTCTCTTTGCCCCAAAATATAAGATCCTTTTTTTACACTATCATAATATAATGAAAAAGAGTTCCCCCCACTTTATATTATAAAGCAACCGCACCAACATCCGACAACATCAACGGTTCAAGGTTCAAACGAAAGTAGAGAGTGCAACAAGGTACAAAATAAGTTCGGCAGGGGGCACGGCACAACAAACCCTTGCAAATAAATGGAGGTTACTAGCTAATCCGACTCAGGAGGTGGTGGAGGAGTCAATGGAGCAATGGATCTGGCGGTGGAGCGAAGATCCACGATGGTCAAGTCGATGGTGTCCCGATCTCGCCGCTTGCTAAGCGGACTCCTGAGCTGTAAGAAGCCACACGTTTTGTAAATTGCATCAGTCGCACGGAGCGGAATCACATGCTCAATCACTACTTTATTGCGCACATTTCATAAGGTCCACGCGAGGGTGCCCATCGCCACCCAAAGGGATGGGTGAACCACGCATGGGAAGCCAAGGATGTCCCTAAACATGTCCGGGAGATACCATAGCACCAAATCCCTCCCACCACATTCCGGAAAACACCTCCAGAGGAAGATCGCTGCCGGGCAAAGGAAGAATACGTAGTTGGAGTCCTCCAGAACTCCACGTAGCAGGCATAACCCATCACTAGGGCCGTTTTGTTTAAGCACTTCTGTACCTGAAGGTGGGCGACCACGAACCCGGCCATTGCCAAAGGAAGATACAAATCTTCATCGGCAGCTTAATCTCCCATAGGAGATTTAGTTCCGTTGGACTAGGAATGGCCGAAATCGCGTGGAGGACTTCATCGAAAACACGCCACTTGGTCCGAGGTGCCAAGAGATGACGTCATGCTCAAGGGTAGGGATGAAAACGGAGTGGAAACGGACGGAAATGGGTGCTACCACATTTGTTTTCATATTTTCATGCAGAAACGGAAACGAATAAGAAACCCAGGAAATGAATACAGAAACAGACAATACAGAGCGGACACGAAAACAGAAATGGGCGTTGACCGGAACTTAAAACCCCTCGAATCATAGAGAAACACACACAAAAAACAAACAAATTTAATGAATTGGTAACATGGCTACAAAATAATATGATTATGTTAGCAACTTAGCGTAGTATTGCAGTAGTACATGACAATTGCGTATAGGGTCTAGTTGAGTATGTGTGTGGTAGTAGAAGTTGGGTTTTAAATGATCCCTTCTGCTCACTGTGTCATTGCATGTTGTTTGGTGGTTAGGCTATAAAGCAAGCATAAGCCTATAGTAAGAACATAAATTCCATATTCACGAAAACGAAAGTTCCGTTTCCACATCTGTTCCACCCAAAAACACCATTTCGTTTTTGTTGCCGTTTTCGCATAAAAATAATTCAATTGCCACTTCCAATTTGCAAATTTCCATTTCTATTTTCATATTTCCTCTTCGTTTTCATTTTTCTTCCGAAAAACGGAAAGTTTCAACTCCATTCTCATCCCTACTCGAGGGTGGGGGAGTGTGGAGGGCGACGCACTCTAGCAGCTCCGCCCAATGGTACGCCGGAAGGTACGCTAGAAGGCAACGCTCCCAAGGTCCGCCAAAGCCGCACCCACCGTGAGTTGCGGACGCGGGTAAATACTAAAGAGCAAATAGAACTGCTCCGCAAACGGTTAGTGCCAGACCAACGATCCAACCAGAACTATGCGCAAAAAAAACCCGATCCAACCAGAACAATGTGTTGGTGCCCGACCCAACACAAATCGAAAATCCTACCCGAAGAACCGGCAACAATTGTATGATTGACTGCCAGAATTGGGAGCCACCCGCTCTAAGGGTGAAAGCTAACGGTTATCCACACTAATATTTTGCGCGGATAATCTCAAGCCATAGCCCACCGTCACCGGTTTCAATACGCCACATCCACTTGGATAATAAGGCAATGTTCATCCGCTTGAAGGAAATGAACCCAAGGCTGCCCTGGTCTTTGGGCTTGCATATCTCAGACCATTTAACCATGTGATATTTCTGCCTATCACCCTTCCCCGCCCTGAAGAACCGGGACTGGTACCTGGCAATCTCCTGATGGAAGAATTCATGTAAACTATAGAATCCCATTAGATACATCAACATGCTAATCATGAAGGAGTTGATCAAAACTACCCTCGCAGCCTTGGAAAGCCAACGCCCTTGCCATGTGGTTCAACCCAATGTTGAACCTTGGACATAGTAGGGCGGAGGTCCTTCTCCTGGAGACGAGAATCACTAATCGGCATGCCGAGATAAGTAGTCAGGAATGACCCTAGTCAACAATTAAGTCGATTGGCTATACTCAGAGACTCCTCCGTGATGTATCCCAACACCATCACTTCGCTCTTCACTAAGTTTATTTTCAATCCCGACATTTCTTGAAAGCACAGGAGGAGGAACTTAAGATGTTGAATGTCCTTTATAAAAAATGATCTTATATTTTGGAACGGAGAGAGTATATGTGTGACACAATAATTATTAATTAAACTATTAAAAATATGGATGGCCCCCGTTGCAACGGCAACTACTAGTACCTTGTAATGGTTCACCCATAGTTCTCTTGTTTTGTACTCTACAGAAAAGTCAACAAGAATGTACATCGCCGGAGGTTTTAGCCTCCCTTTCGAAAAGAAGAAAAAAGAAACTAGATTGGCAATTTGAGTAATGCATTCAGGTTGGGACCATAATTGTTAAAAAAAGTATTTAATTTAACATTGTATCACATCACAGAAATTTCCAAACAAGACATCATAGTACGAGTTTTGGGTTATAACATTTGCAAGTTCCACAGGTGCAAAACCGTCCACTATTGTCCAGACAATGCGAGATCGGTCTTCAGCAGTAGAACATGAACTGCCTGACACTCTCCTTAACTTTGGGCAGTGGCTTTACCAGGACAGCTTGATCATGCATTCGGGTGCCGCCTACAGAAGATGATCCCTGATCAGAGTGATTGTCATCCAGGTAGTGCCGCGCCCGGAAAGCCGCCAAGTGCGCATAGTATGCCGGAGGAACTGTTAATTTGCAACAAATGGAACAGAAAATTAACTGCCAATTGTCTGTGAAGGAAAATGAGATACATGGCTATAGGGAGCGACAACGGACACTCAGGCAAAAGGTAGGTATCAGACAATGCAAAATTACACATCAAGACGTACCAATCGAGACGGACCGCGTGCACCGTGCGTAACTGTGAGACAGACAGAATAGTTAGGACAGGCATCAGTGAGAGGGGATCATATTTTTAGCAGAGGGTTGCAGTAAAAACTACCGAAAACTGCTTACGTGTAGCACAGATTGTAAGTCAGTGTTTGTAACGCATCGGCGGTGAAATTACTGTCATCGAAGAGGACATGGTAATGAGTTGGACGGCTCGTTCCCTGATAGGCATAAGCAATTGCCATTACATTACTTCAATGTGAAAGGGTACTAAAGTGTTGTATGCATCAAAGGAGAAAATAAGGATCTGGAGATGCGCCAGTAAGGATCGGCTGTTACCTGAATGCCGGCATGACTACAGAGGTAAAAATCAAACTCACTGGGATGGCATATCTTTGTATCAACAACGGTACCTGACAACAACATATGTAGTTAGTAAAAAAAGTCAACCTAATGTTATGTGTCAAGATAATTACTTGCTTAGCAAATTTAGTTTACCAGGTAGGATGTTTCCGCTTCGATCTGCCATGGCCCCTGAACGATGATCTTCCGGGAAAAGCCGTGTGTGATGCCGCTTTTGCACCACAACAAATGTAACTTGAGGAAGGTAACCGTTCTCTAAGCTAGAGCAAGCCTAGGAGAGAGCAAACAACAAGATAAAATCAAATACAATTTTAAAGGTCTATGTTATTATTCTCTGCAACCAACTAAATAAAATCAAATACAATATAGAAACAGAGAGAAATAAAGGAGGCAAAAAGAATACCCTGTATATTGCATCCATTTCATAAAGCAAGACCTGGCTAAATTGGCCTTCACTAACACCATCTCTGCAAGGAAAGCAAATATGCTCTCAGTACAGACAACAAAGGCGTTGATTCAGAAATCAGAGCACAAATAATTTCCTTCACTAACCGATAAAATATTATCCTTCCAGGTTTGCAAGACTTGTTTGCTTTATAGAAGGACAAAAGCAACTCTCTGCAACAGAGACATTTATACACAACGAATATTACATTAGGAAAAGAACAACAGTAACAGACACTGGCATATCCAAGGTTACCTTATCATTCCACCATATATAACCCCCTTCTGTGGATCTTTCACTTCTGTGAAAAGGTCAGCTATGATTTCTTCCCTATGACCTTGTGAAGACACCAAGCATGTGTACTTAGACACTTCAGGCCAATCCATCGACGCAACAACCTGTGAAAGCTTTAACATTACTTTGTAGAAACTGGAACTACAGTGCAAGAACAAAAATATGCCATGATCTAGTTATACAATATAGTAAGAGACAGTACATGGCTTCTAAAAAAATCTAGAAAAAGAACTTTCTCGTACAATATATGTCTGTTTAGTTATATAAATTTTATCTAAATATATGTCATTCCACAACTTTGAGGTAAATTATCTCATTTCTTCCCAGTATGAACTCATATTCTCAACAGCAAACGAGGTTTATCTCACAACCTTTCTCAAACCCATGCTTTATAAAATGGATTTTTCTAAAGCAGTTTTTCTTAAGTCATGTGTGAACAAACAGATATACGTCAGTTGACAAGAATACATTTGCTAAACTATAGTTTCTAGCACATGCACTTCAATGATGAAAAAAACATCAAACCTCAAAACACTAGGTCTCGAGCAAAATAATTGAATAGGGACGCTATAAGAGAAAGTACAAAGATTGTCAGGGCACAAACCGCTGCAATAGATGGAGACACATCCTCCCCAGGAGATGGGTGGGTCACATCTGCTCCAAATATAATTGTAGGCTTATCTGTCAACAGAGGTATCCTCCGAAGCAATGCATTTTCCAGCACGGTGTTCCGACCACCAACCTAAGTTAAAATTGTCAGCGGAATGATTGACCTCCGAATTAGAGCCACAATGCATGCACTTGCACAGTTTATCCTACCTTAACATTGATCTTAAGGGCCATATTTTGTAGATACTGTGTGCCAGCTCTCTGAACATGCTTAGGTAAACAGCACTGAGTTATTAAACCAAGCTCAATTTCACAAAGCCGCTTTACTCTTCCTGTATATGCACGAAAGGTTACTACAGCACAGCAAAAAAAAACTCCCATCACCCTGAAAAGCCATTTGATGTGCTTACCATAACAATCACTTGCATTAGGTCCATCAGGTAATACTACAAATAGTAACTCAAGGTTTTGTCCTTCCAAACCTTGCTGAGCAAGCACTTGGGCAGATTGTCTATATATATTTTTTACAGCTTCTAAGTTACCCTGGCGTGCCTGAACAATGTCCACACACGGTGTCTCACTTACTTGCTACATCAAAAGAAGAAAAAGATGGTCAGATCGCCCATACATTATATTATAAACAGCATTGTATTCTGAGTTGCGAAAGTTTTTTTACCATGCCCATGTTATTGCACGTGCCAACCAAATAGTTGCAGAACACGCTAACATCATTCCATTGCAACCGAGAGCCAAATGAAACACAGGCCCAGTGCCTGATGGACCCTCCATTTATCATTCTCTGAAAATGCAAGCTCATATTTTAACCCAGAATATAAGAATATCATACCACCAAATATGTTGAAACATTACCATGACCAACACAAAACGTTTTTTAATGATTTCTCCATGAAGATAATTACAATTGTCAGCAAAAACAAGAAGAAAAAGAGATGATCTCTAGAGGGAGATGTGTTACCCTGACTAAGTATCAACTAATAAGTGCATATGCCTTAAGAGACCACATAACATTGTCATTGCACAAACTGCCAGTAGCAACTATATTGCTTGTGAAAACAGAATTAATTGCAAATTAGTGCAACTGAAGTATTAAGAAGATGATTAAAAAAAGATAAATAGCTCAAAATACCTTGTTATTCATGTTCCACTGTCCTACCGACGGATTACATATTTGTTCTCGTCCAGACTGATGGTATTTAAGCTAAAAAACAGAACAATTTCATGAGGAGACACTGCACTCAAAGTTTTTATGAGATTATTCTTTAGTATAAATAAAAAACATGTACCCTTGGAGGAGGCAGCACACGAGCATCGACCAATGCTAGTTGGTTCATCACCTTAATTCCAAATTCTTTTGCATTATCATCAATGCCATAGTTGTTTCTGTTAATAACCTGATAATATAAAATGGTATATCAATGTTATAATAACATAATAAAAAAGCACAAGACAAGAACAGAAAATGTATATCTAAATGTAAACAACAAAGAGGTCAAATGTGAGCAACTAACAAATTCACCTCCACTTAACATAAAAAAATCAAATAAATAGATAATTCACCTCCACGATACTACCCTCCCTTTTATCTGGCCGCTCACATGCCAACCTCAATATGTTTGTGACTTGACGCTCATTTAGCTTTCTCGAATAGCGTTGTCCTCCAAGTATGTTGCAAACCTGCATACAAAAGGATAATTCTAATTACATATGGGTGCATCAGACAAAACCTGAAGAAGTTTACATATATAAGTATGCATATGTATCCGCCCTATTAATTGGTTTTAAGCAATCAGATAGATCAGGATTTAAAGAAAAAGGAAACCTCCATAGGCAAATATGTTGGCCTGCTATCACTGCCAGCTTGAAGGCATGGCCACTGTATATATTTCAAAGAGTAATCATATTGGCGTTTAAAGTAATGGACAACTGATACCCTTGTCCCGTCTAGGTCAAATCTGTAAAAAGCAAACAAAATTACGTAAGAGTATGGCATGACATAATAAATGAAATGCGATGCAACTAAAGAAAATGATGAGTACAAAAGAGGTAACAAATACGTCAATTCATTTAGCGGAGCTGAGGTTATCCCAGTAATTTTGTAACGAATGGATATATCAGGTCGATGCGTTGCCACAACTCGGACTCCCTTGAGGGCTTTCTTTAGCTACAAAGCAGAAAAGGACAAAACAAGATCAACTTCAACCATTATATTTTGGTACAGTAAAGAATGACAAAGGATGCAAATAAAGCTGTATCATGGTACATACTTTCAGGCGATCCTGGTCAAACAAACGCCTTGGAGCATCACCCCGGATGTTAAGATATTCCAATGCAAAATCCATAACTGGTTGAGCTTTGTAAAATGCTGTTGCAGAAATATCTGCATAAAGAAAATATAAAATTCATCAAACAGACAAAGGATTTTAAATAATGAACTCCAGAGCTTCATACTGACGATGAAGTTCAAAAAAGCACTTAAATTAATATGAAAACTGTGGAATGCATACTTTGTGTTTCACAAGCAAAGATAGATCTTGCAATGATATGGTTAGTTTATAAGAGATGGGTGCACCTCCCTCCGTTCATTAATATAAGACATTTTAGCTTTTTCTTGATTCGTATGTATCTAGACACATTTTAGTACGCATGTTCACTCATTTTAGTATCATGTAGTCAATATTGAAATAGCTAATAGGTCGTACATTAGTGAACGGAGGAAGTACACACTTCTTTCATGAAGAGAAGAACAATATCTTGTGCAGTAAGTTATTATAGGTAGAAACCAGTATGTTACTATACCAATATTCAGTGACAATCCCATCTGTGTGGGGCGCAGGCTCTGATAATACCCTCGCCAGCATTCCACCCCGCTGCCAATGTCACCACCATGTCCAAATGATTTTGAGAAAAATGATCTTGAGATGGGTGTATACCTGTCAAAAATTAGCAAGCAAAATAAATCTATGTATGAAGGAACTAGAATAACAAGCACGGCCTCAAGCAATAGGAAGACACGCTCTGCCAATAAACATGTGCTGTTCTATATGAATCAAATATCTCTGGACACATTACTTTGCAGTGGGGGTTTCCCTCAGAGCGATATCAAGAGCCTGGATAGTGTCCTGCGGCAGTTCTCTCTGCGTACCAGCCAAGAATTGCTGAAGATTGTATAGATTTAGTTTTGCAACTTCCTTTATGGTGACCTTATACTCCTTTTCCCTGAAAAAGAGAAGGATCAACACAAGTGATACATAAATTACAACTACATCAGAAAAATGGAAAACATCATACCCCTGGTATCCTCTCTCGGTATTTGATACTTTGACAATAAACTCTTTGGTTTTAAATGGCAGTGGAGCTGCAGTAAACATTCCCTTTCTTCCATCATAAACAGGCAATCTCCCATCCAAATGTTGTTTATGCAATCTAACAAGTTCATTAATTATAGATCTGTTCCTCTCACGAGCCATCGATTCAGGACTGATTGATACCTATATCAATAAGAATATAGCAATTGCTATTCAAATCAACCGGTGTCATGAGATAAAATAAAGATTATAATAGCATCTTTCAAAGCATTTGACAACAACTGAATGACCCCAATACTGAGAAACAAATCTGTGCAAATTGATAATTAATTTGACATATATGATCAACTATTCGACAGAGTACAGATGACACACCTTAGGTGTGTTTTGAGAAAAATATATTCAATGTAGGCAACTCAAAGAATTGTTATAAACAACATAAGAATGAGAACAGGTAAATCATATTTTTCCTACCAAATTTGCATATCAGATTAGGCCAATGTGCCGAAATTTCATTTGACTGACAAAAATTCAACCTTTTTTTATGAAATTTGATAAATAAACAAATTAAGTTGGGCCCCGATTCAGTTTTCACCGCATTTTATTTGATTAAGCCGTAAATATTTTGGTAACCACTGAAACCACCAGGTTTTCATAAATCTCTGCCAAAGTGAATCCTGCTGATGTCTAGGCTGTAATTATGGTTCTCACTTTCAGTGTAGTTTCGAAAATTTCATTCATTTCGGTACACTGAAATAATTGCCTTTCGGTCAAAATATTTAAGCAATTTCGGTAGTACATAGAAATTCAAAATATTGTTTTGAAATTTTAAAATATTTGCTTGGATCTTAGTTAATTCAAGTTGAAATTTTGGTCATTTCACCGAAATAACTAAATTGGTGATTTCAGCGATGACCAAAATATTTCCGAAACAGGAACTCAAAACTCATGCCTGCACTACAAAATTGGGTGATCGATGTATGTGGCAAAACCACTTCCAAGTGACCTTAAACTGACCTTGATTTGCAAAATTAGTCCAGCATGCCAATCAAATTTACTGCAAATTAAGGTGGATGTGAAATGAACATATACTCCTATTCTCTACAAGCTATTAGGGACTAATGCATTGCCAATGATAGCCATGTTCTAAGGGTTTTAAAGCTCACAATAGCTACTTGTAAGTCATCTGAAAATAGTTTTTGGGTCAGTCGATTTTGGAAGGAAGGAAGAAAGAAGCCGCTGGAGAGAAGGAAGATGCAGTCCTCGGCTCGCTGGAGAAGCCCGTTGGGTCTATCTTAGGGTGGCAGGCGGCCCCACTATCTATCTTAGGCATGTTGGGGGTGAGGGTGTAGGTTCGCCGGAAAAAAAGGTTCGTGGCCGCGGTTAGAGGGATGGCCTGGGGCGGCGGCAACAAGGCGGCGGTTGGGGGAGGGCGGAGCGGAGAGGCTGGCCCGGGAGCCCTGCCGGCCGCGGGTGGTTAGCCCGGTGCTAGATCCGCGGTTCGAGGTTGAAGAAGATGAACAGTGATGAGGTTGAAGAAGCTGATCTGGTCAACCATCTTGCATCCGACGGCTCAGAGCGAATCAACTGACCCAAATCTGATTTTCAGTTACCTGACAGCTGCTAGTCAATCCCTTGAAAGCTCAAAACCTAGCCTATTTTAGAGAGAAGTCTTTCCAAAAGAAGAGCACCACGTGAGCGAAAGCAGAGACACATTACGTACATCGTAGTGGTAGATCTCCTTGTCGGCGACCTGCACGAGGAGATGGTTGGCGCGCACCCGGCACCTCTTGCCGGCCGTCCCGTACCCAGGCCGCGCATGGAACCCCGTCGACTTGCTCGACGCCGGAGGCAGATTCCGAGGCGGCACGACCACGGCCGCCTGCGACTCCTGGGCTCCCGTGGCGGCCGCCGCCGGCGCCGAGGACGAAGACCCCTGGACCGCCTCCGACACCGCCAACCTCCTCTCCATCTCTCCGCTCAGCGCCTCCACCTCTGCCTGACCCGGAACCGTCGCCGTCGCCGGCGGCCGGCCGCGCCCCGCGCCCACGGGACGCTCCACCGCCCCCACCTCCAAGCCGCCTCGGCCTAGCCCGCCTCGATGAGCGCCCAAGTGGCCTCGCCCGGCGTCGCGATGGCCACCGCGCTGGACCCCGGCGTCGGCGCCGCCGCCCTGGCCACGACCGCCTCCGCGGCCACGGTGGGCATCCTGCTGCTCCCCGCCTCTTCCCCGGCCTCGACCGCGTCCTACCGCACCCTGCTGGTCGCCACCGCGGCCGCCGCGCCGGCCGCCTCCACCTCTAGCGCTCGTGGACATCGTGGGCGCGACCCCGACAGAGTGAAGTGGCAGCACGAAACCAACCAAGAAGAAACCACCGGCCGATCGATGAGGTTGGAAGCGGAGGAGGCGGGGAATATATACAGGCTCAGTTTCGCGGATGGACGTGCCGTTTCACATGGACTTCGACGCCTAAACATCCTATATCGCTCACTGACATGTGAACCAGGGGACCGCTCGGCCCCACAGGTCAGCGACACACCACGGGTAAGGCGTTCGCACGCGTTGCCGCCGTATGGAGGCTGGAAAGCTTAGTCTAGCCAGGGCAATGCACCACATTTCCCGCCTACAATAATTTTATTTGATTAAAATATATAATACTTCCTCTAAATCAAATCATCGACAATTAATATAGATGCCAGGGAGTAATTTAATTTAAACGCGCCTAACCGTAAATATTTGCTACCCAATAGTTCATTTTTGCGATATCTTTAGATCACATATTAGACTATTCATTGTTGGGTTGAAGATTGCTAACCGATCATTCCGCACGCGTTTAGCCATTACGTTTCGACCCATATAGGGCGCACATTTAATGGCTAGCGGGGTTTAATCTTGTGATACCGCTCGGCCCCACAGGTTAGCGACACACCACGGGTAAGGCGTTCGACGCGTTGCCGCGTATGGAGGCCGGAAAAGTTAGTCTAGCCAGGGCATGCACCCCATTTCCGGCGCACAATAATTTTATTTGATTAAAACAATTATAAAAATATATAATACTCCCTCTATATCAAATCATCGACAATTAATATGGATGCCAGGGAGTAATTTAATTTAAACGCGTCTAACCGTAAGTATTTGCTACCTAATAGTTCATTTTTGCGATATCTTTAGATCACATATTAAACCATTCATTGTTGGCTTGAAGATTGCTAACCGATCATTCCGCACGCGTTTAGCCATTACGTTTTGACGCATATAGGGTGCACATTTAATGGCTAGTGGGGTTTAATCTTGTGATACCCTTCAGGTCGTATACAGATCATTCTATAATTTATGTTTACGCTCGTCTGGAAATATTTGGATGCTCGTTTGGCCAACACATATTTGACCAGTTTGTTTAGTTATGTGATACCCTCTGATTACACACAATTCATTCCATAATTATTTTTTACACGCTTCTAGCCAACAGATATGCTTGGACATATCCAACCGACAACTGGCTAAAAGTTGATTCACTCTTTGTGATCACTCGATAGTCCGATGGTTTATGTTTGCACGCGTCTAGCCAGCAAATTTTTGCTGGCCGGTCTTGTGATACCCTTAGATCATATAGTGATCATCTTATGTTTTATCTTTGCATGTGTCTAGCCAACTATATTTGTTGGCTAGTGGGCCTAGACAAATGTGCAAATGGAAGGTTTTGTCTACTTTCTGATGTGTACGACGAAAAGGAAAATCTCAAAACACTTGGTCCCCTCTCTCACTCAAGTCTGGTCTTCGTCCACTCATGCCCCGTGCCACACACGTGCCACAATTGCAAAATACATCACATGGTTTGCGCCATTCCCCTCGTCCCCACCCGCCACACCTGGCCGGTCCTGACGTGGCTTGAGACAGCTTCGGTATTTCCCTAAAGAGGAAGGGATGATGCAGCATAGCTACGGTAAGTATTTCCCTCAGTTATGAAACCAAGGTACAATCCAGTAGGGGAACCAAGCAACACTATGTAAACAGTATCTGCACACAAAGAACAAATACTCGCAACCCGACGCGTAAGAGGGGTTGTCAATCCCTCCATGGTGATAATATAGATTAAATGGTATGAGTTTGGATAAATAGAGCGCACAAGAACACAAAACAAAAGATGCAAATAAAAACTACAAGGTATTTTTCGGGGTTTTGGAATAATAGACCTGAAAATAAATATGGTAAAAGATAGATCGGAAAGCAATACGATAAAAGATAGACCCGGGGGCGTAGATTTCACTAGTGGCTTCTCTCGAGAAAATAGCATACATGGGTAAACAAAATACTGTTGGGCAATTGATAGAAGATCAAATAATCATGATGATATCCAAGACAATGATCATGTATATAGGCATCACGTCCAAGATTAATGGACTAAAACGATTCTGCATCTACTACTATTACTCCACACATCGACCGCTATCTACTATGCATCTAATGTATTAAGTTCATGGAGAAATGGAGTAATGCAATAAGAACAATGACATGATGTTGACAAGATCTATTCATGTAAGAATAGACCCCATCTTTTTATTCTTAATAGCAATGATACACGTGTGTCTCGTTACCACTTCTGTCACTGGGTGAGGACACCGCAAGATTGAACCCATGACAAAGCACCTCTTCCCATTGCAAGAAAAATCAATCTAGTTGGCCTAACTAAACCAAAGATTCAGAGAAGAAATGCGAGGGTATAACAATCATGCATATAAGAGATCAAAGAACTCAAATAATATTCATAGATAGAACTGATCATAAACTCAATCTTCATCAGATCCCAACAAACACATCGCAAAAGAGTTACATCAAATAGATCTCCAAGAGACCATTGTATTAAGAATCAAAAAGAGAGAAGAAGCCATCTAGCTGCTACCTACGGACCCGTAGGTCTATGATGAACTACCCACGCATCATCGGAGGAGCACCAATGTGGATGATGAACCCCTCCGTGATCGTTTTCCCCTCCGGCGGAGTGCTGGAATAGGGCTCTAGATTGTCATGGTTCTGGTACTTGCGACGACTGGAATTGTGTTTCGTCGACTCCCCTAGGCTTTCTAGAATATTCGGGTATTTATAGATCTGAGAGGCGGTGGAGTAGACCGTCATGGGCACCACAACCCATCAGGGCGCGCGAGGGGCCTTTGGCGTGCCCTGGTGTCTTATGGGCCCCACGGGCCTCCCCCCAAGTGCTTCCTTGGCTCTCAAGTTGTCTTCTGGTCCAACAAAATCTCAAAAGAGTTTTGTTGCGTTTGGACTCTGTTTGATAGGAATATTCTGCAAAGTAAAAAATAATAAAAAAACAACAACTGCACTGGGCACTATGTCAATAGGTTAGTCCCAAAAAATGATATAAAGTTGCTATAAAATGATTGTAAAACATCCAAGAATGATAATGTAACAACATGGAACAATAAAAAATTATAGATACGTTGTAGACGCATCAGCATCCCCAAGCTTAATTCCTGCTCGTCCTCGGGTAGGTAAATGATAAAAACAGATTTTTTTATGTGGAATGTTGCCTAACACGTTGTCACACCCTGATTTTTGGCCTTTCTTTTTCTTTTGATTTTCTGAGTATTCTGCTTGAGTTTTCTTTTTTCTGTGGTTATGTGGTATGGAAACTGGAGAAGATGACCTCTTCTTTCTTTCCAGAGTGGCTTGTCATCCTCATATCCTTCCCAAGACCTTGCCATTTTCATCTTGGCCCAACCCCAATATTCTTTTCCTTGGAAACATTCCTTTTTTTGTTAAAGGAATAACCCTATTTGCCCTAGGTTGTGATGTTGGGAAACGTAGCAATTTCAAAAAAATTCCTAGGCACACGCAAGATCATGGTGATGCATAGCAACGAGAGGGGAAAGTGTTGTCCACGTGCCCTCGTAGACCGAAAGCGGAAGCATTAGAACAACGCGGTTGATGTAGTCGTACGTCTTCACGGCCCGACCGATCAAGCACCGAAACAACGGCACCTCCGAGTTCTAGCACACGTTCAGCTCGATGACGATCCCCGGATTCCGATCCAGCAGAATGTCGGGGAAGAGTTCCGCTAGCACGACGACGTGGTGACGATCTTGATGTTCTACCGTCGTAGGGCTTCGCCTAAGCCCCGCTACAATATTATCGAGGACTTTGGTGGAGGGGGGCACCGCACACGGCTAAGAGATCAAGAGATCAATTGTTGTGTCTATGGGGTGCCCCACTCCCCCGTATATAAAGGAGTGGAGGAGAGGAGGGCGGCCAAGGGGGTGGCGCGCCCTAGGGGGGAGTCCAACCCCAACCGGGAGTAGGACCCCCCCCTTTCCTATTAGGAGTAGGAGAGGGAAGGAAGAGGGGGAGGGAAGAAGGAAAGGGGGGGCCGGCCCCCCTCCCAATTCGGATTGGGCTTGGGGGGGGGGGGCTCCTTTGCTCCTTCTCCCTCCTTTCCACTAAGGCCCAATAAGGCCCATATACCTCCCGGGGGGTTCCGATAACCTCCCAGAGATCCGGTATTGTCCCAATCTCACCCGGAACCTTTCCGGTGTCCAAATATAGTCGTCCAATATATCGATCTTTATGTCTCGACCATTTCGAGACTCCTCGTCATGTCTGTGATCACATCCGGGACTCCGAACAACCTTCGGTACATCAAAACTCATAAACTTTGTGTGACGTTTGGTAGCACACAAAGTGTTCCTTCGGTAAACGGGAGTTGCATAATCTCATAGTTGTAGGAACTTGTATAAGTCATGAAGAAAGCAATAGCAACATACTAAACGATCAAGTGCTAAGCTAATGGAATGGGTCAAGTCAATCACATCATTCTCCTAATGATGTGATCCCGTTAATCAAATGACAACACATGTCTATGGTTAGGAAACATAACCATCTTTGATTAATGAGCTAGTCAAGTATAGGCATACTAGTGACGTTAAGTTTGCCTATGTATTCACACATGTATCATGTTTCCGGTTAATACAATTCTAGCATGAATAAAAAAAATTTATCATGATATGAGGAAATAAATAATAACTTTATTATTGCCTCTAGGGCATATTTCCTTCAGTCCCCACTTGCACTAGAGTCAATAATCTAGATTACACAGTAATGATTCTAACACCCATGGAGTCTTGGTGCTGATCATGTTTTGCTCGTGGAAGAGGCTTAGTCAACGGGTCTGCAACATTCAGATCTGTATGTATCTTGCCAATCTCTATGTCTCCCACCTGGACTTGGTCCCAGATGGAATTGAAGCGTCTCTTGATGTGCTTGGTCCTCTTGTGAAATCTGGATTACTTTGCCAAGGCAATTGC